ACACACCAGGCTCATGTGTGTGCAGGCCCCAAACCCCAACAGCATGGAGGAGCGGAGAAGGGCTTGTAGTGTGATCCTGTCCCACTGTGGGGGTGCTTTGCCCCCCCTCCCCAACCCTCTGTCTCTCTGGCAAGCACACACGTCTTTTGACAATTATTTAAAAAGAAAACAGATAGTAATATGGAGCATGTACTTTATAACACGCTCGTGGTCTGGCAGCCCGCTCAGATGTGGGGGTGTTTCTAGAGCGGAGGGTTGGAACCATCACGGGTGGGGTCCACGAACGCTCAGCAGCCCCTCCCGAGCTCTGATAGGTGTGACGGCCAACAGGATTTGGTGCGGATTTGGTCGGGCAGAGCTGGTTTTCAGGGCCTGTGATTCATTTGGAATTGCAGGCACTGGGCGAGGCCTCAGCAGGCCGGACTTGGCGGGCTGTTTGGGGGTTCAGGGAGCGCTCACCTGTGAGGCTCACAGAACGGCATTTGGCGCCAAAGAGGTGTTCCAGGCATGTCAGCTGCTGGCAGTACTGTTTTAAATCTTTTTAGGTTTTTATTTTTATTTTGTCATTTTAAAAACACACACAATAAAATGCTCTCCTTTGTAGTATAGTTCGGGGAGTTTTACAGTGGCTTTCACCATGTAACCACCGCCCCATGACGGACATTTCCACACTTCGGGAAGACCCTCCCGCCCCTTCCCGTCGGCCTCCCGCCACCCCCAGGCCCGCGGGCGCCCAGAGCAGGTGGAGCCCTGCTGCATGCCTCGCGTGTCCGGCTTCTTTGCCGACATAGCCCTGAGCGCGTCCTCCACGCTGTGTGGACAGCAGCCACCTGCTCGGCCGAGCAGTAGCGTTCCTCTGCCGACACCCCACGTGCTGTGCACCGCTGACGGCCATTTGGGTCGTTTCCAGTGCCGGCCGTAATGACAGGAGTGCTGCGACACCCACACACGAGCCTTCGGAGGACATCTGCTTTCCTCTCTCTTGAGGAAACAGCCGGGAGTGGACGAGCCCGGGCACACGGCGGCCCCGGTCTACCTCCGTAAGGGGCCAGCCGCTGTCCCCAAAGCGGCCCCGCCCCCTTCCACCAGCAAGGCCGGGGAGGTGGGCGGCTCCACAGGCCCACCAGCGCTTGCGGCCCGCCTGCCTCTCGAGCCTGTGTTGCTGACCTGTGTCTCCCCCACCCCCAGGTGATCCGGACGGACACGTTCAAGCACCTGCGGCACCTGGAGATCCTGCAGCTGAGCAAGAACCTGGTGCGCAAGATCGAGGTGGGCGCCTTCAACGGGCTGCCCAGCCTGAACACGCTGGAGCTGTTCGATAACCGGCTGACCACGGTGCCCACGCAGGCCTTCGAGTACCTGTCCAAGCTGCGGGAGCTGTGGCTGCGCAACAACCCCATCGAGAGCATCCCCTCCTACGCCTTCAACCGCGTGCCCTCGCTGCGCCGCCTTGACCTGGGCGAGCTCAAGCGGCTGGAGTACATCTCGGAGGCGGCCTTCGAGGGGCTGGTCAACCTGCGCTACCTCAACCTGGGCATGTGCAACCTCAAGGACATCCCCAACCTGACGGCCCTGGTGCGCCTGGAGGAGCTGGAGCTGTCGGGCAACCGGCTGGACCTGATCCGCCCGGGCTCCTTCCAGGGCCTCACCAGCCTGCGCAAGCTGTGGCTCATGCACGCCCAGGTGGCCACCATCGAGCGCAACGCCTTCGACGACCTCAAGTCGCTGGAGGAGCTCAACCTGTCCCACAACAACCTGATGTCGCTGCCCCACGACCTGTTCACGCCCCTGCACCGGCTGGAGCGCGTCCACCTCAACCATAACCCCTGGCACTGCAACTGCGACGTGCTCTGGCTGAGCTGGTGGCTCAAGGAGACGGTGCCCAGCAACACCACGTGCTGCGCCCGCTGCCACGCGCCAGCGGGCCTCAAGGGCCGCTACATCGGCGAGCTGGACCAGTCGCACTTCACCTGCTACGCGCCTGTCATCGTGGAGCCCCCCACGGACCTCAACGTCACCGAGGGCATGGCCGCCGAGCTCAAGTGCCGCACGGGCACCTCCATGACCTCCGTCAACTGGCTGACGCCCAACGGCACCCTCATGACCCACGGCTCCTACCGCGTGCGCATCTCCGTCCTGCACGATGGCACGCTCAACTTCACCAACGTCACTGTGCAGGACACAGGCCAGTACACGTGCATGGTGACGAACTCGGCCGGCAACACCAAGGCCTCCGCCACGCTCAACGTCTCCGCCGTGGACCCCGGGGCACC